CATCCAACTCCATCCTCATGAACAACCTATAACCCCATCCTCATGGTTTGAACAACCTAAAAATTCCTTGGATTTGGTGGAAATGTAGGCGAGTTGCAACCTTGTGTTACTATCACATGAGCTCTGCCTATTCGGCCTCCAAAACAGTCTCAACCAACCCCGCCCTCTCCATTCCTATTACGGCATCATCTAATTCCCTTTGAAGATAGTTTATATGCTGTTGAGCTTGTCCTAAGATCGTTTGAACTTCTTGGAACCTCCCTTTGAAATATTGAGCCTCAGTTTGAGCTTGTCCTAAGATCGTTTGAACTTCTTGGAACCTCCCTTTGAAATATTGAGCCTCAGTTTGAGCTTGTCCTAACATCGTTTGAACTTCTTGGAACCTCCCTTCGAAATATTGAGCCTCAGTTTGAGCTTCTACTAACATCGTTTGAATTTCTTGGAACCTCCCTTTGAAATATTGAGCCTCAGTTTTGGCTTCTCCTAAAGCTTTCTCATTATTGTCACCTTTCTCTAAAGCTTTCTCTTTAGCTTTCTCAGCTTTCTCTAAAGCTTTCTCAGTAGCTTTGAACTTCAGTTCCAAATTTTCAAACTCAGTTTTACCTTTCTGTAAAGCTTCCCTCCTTTTCAAATCTTCACCCTCAGCCTCAGTTCTAGCTTCCTCTAGAGCTTTCTCTAAATCTTTGTTAGTATCAGCAGCTTTGCGTAAGTCATACTGAGCTGTCAAGTGAACTCTTTCAAGTTCTCTCAGCTTGGATGAAAGATCTTTTAACCTCCTTTCATCTTCTCTTTGGGTTGAAGGAGTAGGAGCTTTGCTTGCTGCTTTGGTCACTTCAAAGCTACCAGCTTTGCCTTTGCTCACTGCTTTGCTCAGTTCAGCAGTACTAGTACCGGCTTCGGCTTTGCTCACTACTACTGACTTCTTCTCTGGTTTAGGGCAAAGAAGATGTGAATGGAAAAGATAACCTTGAAGCTGTTCACGATCTGCTTCCATCAACAAACACTCAATCACACTGAAAATCTCATGGCCTCCTCCTAAGTTTTTGACTTCACATCTCATGGCTTCTAAAGTCTGATACATTTCCAAGCATCTCCTCGCATTGAATAACATCATTCCAAAGTGTGAAACTTCTTCGTCTGTCAGTCCTTTTTCTTTCAGCTTGCTGTCATAAATCTTCAGACACTTTGCTTGGAAAAATTTGACGAACAATTCAGCTTTTGACTGCTGATTAGCCTGTAAAAGTATTATAACAATTACAAGATGAAGAGATCACTATTATTAAAAAGAATAATTAACAGGAACGAACCTTCACTATTATTACCAAGAATAATTAACAGGAACGAACCTTAATCTTTTGAATAGCTGAACGGATGAGTTGTCCATTTTGTTTTGAGAAAGATCCTTTGTCTTTTACAAAAGATTGGCTAATGATTNAGTCCTACAAATATAACACATCAATATCAATATAACACATCAATTTTATAAATTGATACAATATTTACCTGCTCCATCAGTTGATTCACAGTTTTTATGTGAAAAGTAGTTTCTAACATTTTAATAACACCTTCGCTTAGTTTCGTTACTACATTCCTTACTGTAGAGAAAAAATCATATTAGAGTATTTATTCATATTAGAAAACATAGTTATTTACAAAAGGCATACAGTGGCCAATAGGTATAGGTACTTGATGTATATCTTCTTCTTATTGCTTGGCTATAACACATAGATGACAGAATAATATAAAAATACGAATGGACAAGAGGAATAAATTAGACAACAATTACAATGAACTGTAGTAATTATTTCATCTAAAGGCTCTTTACCAGCTTGCTTGTGTTTCTTATCATTCAAAGTCTTCAACTGCCTTTTGCATACTAAGGC